TTCGGCTATTAGGGCATTCGGGCCTTCGGGTCTTTGGGTATTAAAACATTCGGGCCTTAAGACCTTAGGCTATTAGGGTATAATGGCCTTCGGGGCTCAGTGCCTGTGGGTCTTAGGGTATGAGGCCTCAGGGCCTTAAGGTGCTAGTCTCGTAAGGCCTTAGGGCCTTCGAGCTTGAGGGCCTCAGAGTACTAGGGCAGCCGGGTGTTAGGGTGTTCAGGTGTTAATATATAGTGTTTTAGGGACTGAGGGTAGTGAAGCATTCGGGTCTGCGGGTCTCATAGTACTCGGGCCTTCTGGTATTAGGCCCTTGGCGCATTCGCGTGCCAGGTGTGCGGGTCTTAGGTAGTAGGGTCTTGAGGTATTGAAATCTTCAGGCATCAGGGGATCAGGTTCCTAGGGCATTGGGGTATTAGGGCGCTTGTGAAGACATCAGCGTACTACGGTATTCGGGTGTCAGGGCGTCGGGGTGTTAGGGCTTTCGGGTCTCAGGGGCTAGGGTTCTCAGGATATGAGGGCCTGTGAGCCTTAGGGGCTTAGGGTGTTAGGGCTACGGGGCATTAGGGTAGTAGGGTCTTCGGGTCTTGGGGTCTTGGGCACTAAGGATTTTTAGGGTATGAGAATATCAGCGCATCACTATATTATTATGTTGGGGGTGTGTGGTAGGGCCTCAAGGTATTAGGGTATTGGTGTTAGAGTTGGGAGTACTAGGGTGTTAGAGCGTTCGGTCGTTGGGATAATAAGTTATTCGGGTATGCGGGCATCAGCGTCTATGGTATTAGGACGTTGGAATATTCGGGCCTTAAGGCTTTCTGACCTGAAAGTATTAGGCTGCTCGGGCCTTGAAGTCATCGGGTGGCCGGGCATTCTGGTATTTCTGTGGTTTTGCATTCGCGAGTTAAGGCATTAGAGTATTCGAATATTCGGGCGTTCGGGCGTTATGGTGTTAGGCGATTCGGGCATCAGGGTATTAGGGTGTCAATATATCAAATAATCTGGTGTTATGGCCTTACGCTTGTGACGTATCCGTGCACCAGGGTATTATGGTATTCAGGCATCAAGACATCAGTGCCTTAGGGTGCTAAGGCAATATGGTATCCGGGTATTTTGGTTTTCGCGTGCAAGGGTATTCGGCAATTGGTGTGTCAGGGTCTTATGGTATTAGGGTGTTAGTGTATTAGGGCGTTCGCGTGTTAGTGGGTTAGGCAATTAAAGCGTGCGGGTGTTCAGGTGTTCGGGCATGAAGGTATTACGCTATCAGGGCATTGCCGTATTACGATATCAGGGCATCAGCGAATTCTGGTGTTAGCCATCAGGGTATTAGGGTCTAAGGGCGCTGGTGTCTTAGGGCAGTAGGGCTCTAGAGTGTCACGGTCTTGGGGTCAACAGGTCGTTGGGTCTTCGGGGCTTACGGCGTTGGGGTGTTCAAAGTCTTGGGGTTTTTAAGTGCTGGTGTATTGTGGTATCAGGAGGATATGGTATGATGGTAGTAAGGTGTTAATGTGTTGGGTATTAACGCACTCGGGCATTCAAGCATTCGGGCGCGAATGATTTAGGGTGATTGGGTATGAGGGCCTTCGGGTGTTGGGGTGGTGGGCTTTCAGCGCATTCGGGCTTCAGGGTGTTAAGGCATTAGGGCTCTAGGGTGTGAGGGCCTTCGGGTCTTAGGGTCGTTGGGTGTTAGGGTGTTAGTGTTAGGTACTACGATATTCGGGCATTCGGGTCTTAGGGCTTCAAGGTATTACGGTGTTGTGGCACTAAGGCGCTCAGGAATTATGGTATTATGGTTTTGGTGGTATCTTAGCATTAGGGCATCATGGTGTGAGGGCATCACAGTATTAGGGCCTTAGCGTGTTAGGGTCTTTGGGCTCTAGGATGTTAGGGTCTTAGTGTCTGAGGGTTTTTAGCTGTGAGGTTTTTTTTGGTAGTGTGGTATCAAGATATTTGGGTAATCGGGCTTTCAGATATTAGCGCCGTGCGGTATTCAGGTGTTGGGGTCTTAAAGCATTGGGACATTCGGGCATTAAGGTGCTATTGTTTTAGGGCATTTGGGTGTTAGGGTGGTAAGGGTCCTAGAACGTTATGGTGTTGGGGTCTTAGGGCCTTCGGGTGTCAGGGTGTCCGGGTGGTAGGGTCTCAGGGTGTTAGGGCCTTAGGGCGTTAGGTTATCAAGGTCCTATGGTTTGAGGGTGTTGGGTTCTCATGGGTTTGGCGCTTTAGGCTCTTAAAGTCGTATGGTCTTAACGTGTTCGGGCCTTAGGGTCTTCGGGTCTTCAGGTGTTCGGGTGTTGTGGCCGTAGGGTAGCAGAGTCTTAGGGTCTTAAGGTGTTAATAACGTAGGGTAATGTGGTGCTATGGCCTTTGGGTTTTAGGGGTCTGAGGATTTTAAGGGGGTTATGGTCTTGTGGTATTAAGTTCTTAGGGCCGTAGGGTCTTAGGGTCTTAGGCTTCATGGACCGACTGTCATTATGGTATGCACACATTAGAGGATTAGGGTCTTAGAGTTTTATGGTCGAAGGGTCTTCGGGTCATATGGTATTAGGACCTTAGGGGCTCAATGTCTTAAGGCGTTATTGTCAAATGGTATTAGGGTCTGGGTTTGTAAGTATTGTGATCTTCGGGTGTATTTTTCGCGTGAAGACGCGCGAAGGGTCAGACTGATTACCATCACCGAATTGTGAGGGTCATCACCATCGTCTCCACCCCCACCAGCATCAAGAACAGCATCATCATCATCATCATCATCATCACCATCATCATCATCATCATCATCATCATCATCATCATCATCATCATGATCACCATCATCATCATCATCATCATCATCATCATCATCATCTTCGACGGCGTCGTTATCACATCACCATCATCATCCTAATCATCACCATCCTCATCATCATCATTATCCTCATCATCATAACCATTATCATCACTGTTATTAATTATCAGGTTGTTCACCCTTCACGAGAACGGCATACGCTGTCCCCTCGAACGAGAGGCGCCGAGCATGCTGGACTGGAACGGTGGCGGGACTTTTCGCAAGCAGCTCGATACTTACACATCAGCTACACGGATGGATGGAAGGCGGATGTTTCCAGGACGGGGCTCTGCCCTGAATAGCAGGCCGATGGAGCGTTACCTTTCAAGGGAGCGCTTCCCGCAGTGCAAAGGAAGCGTTTGTATGGGGATTATGCGGAGGGGTCTTGGGACAGGAGGGTGTATTACAAAATCGTTGACGCATCCTTGATCTACTCTGATCCTCCTCCTCCATCCCCGCCTCCTCTCTCTTCTCGTTTGTTCTCTACCTCATCCTAGCTCCCAGTCCCTAGCTCCCAACCCGTGGTCCTTGTTCATGGCTCCTGGCTCCTGCCTATGCTCAGGCTACCGCGTCTGTTCCTGTTACCTGTTGAAGTTGCTATTGCTGCTACTGGCACTGATGCAGTTCCTCCTCTTCCTCCTCCTCCTCCGCCTCCTCTTCATCGTCATCGTCGTCATCACCATAATCAGCGCCACCTCCACCATGATCATCACCCCTACCATCATCATTATCATCATCATCAGCAGCATCATCCCCACCATCATCATCATCATCATCATCATCATCATCATCATCATCATCATCACCATCACCATCACCATCACCATCACCATCACCATCACCATCACCATCATCGCCATCACCATCATCACCATCATCATAATCATCATCATCATCATCATCACAATCATCATCATGAGTTTCATCACCAGTGTCACCGCCATCATAATCACCATCATCGTCATCGCCGTCCTCGTCGTCCTCAGCATCAGCATCACCATCAGCAGCAGCATCATCATCATCATCATCATCATCATCATCATCATCCTCATCAGGCTCGTCTTCATCATCACCATCAGCACCATACTGCGCGTGCGCTAGCAGCACAAGATGCACTGGAGGCGAGACGTCACGCTCCGGCGCCTGCCCGCCCCCCCCCCCTTGTGGGGGGGGCTCCACCTGGGACCCCCTTCGAGGCAATTCCTCCCCCCCCACACCCAGGGCCGCCTCCCCCCCCGATTGAACAAACGAGCTTCGGTTGAGGGGAAACAAGAAACTCGAGGGGACATAAGGCCTCATATTGAACAAAAACAGCTTCGAGGCCCATGGGCCCCCCCCGGCCGCCCCCCGAGGGGGAAAACAAAATACTCGAGGAGAAAAAAAACAAACAAATCCTCTGAGGGAAACACCAAAAAAACAGACTCGTAGTCCCCGAGCCCCTCCCCGCCGCCCCCCCCCCTGAGAGGGACAAAACAAACATACTCCCAGACCCCCCCGACGACACCCCGAGGGGGAGCACAAAAAACACGAGGGAAACGAAACACAAGGTGAGCCCAGTGTGGAGGGAGTGCGGGGGCGACTTGAACTTCAACTCTCACCGTCCCGACTGCCCGCAGCCCCAGGATCGGGGGCTGCAGCAGGGGCAGCTGCAGCCACGGGGTGCACTCCGCGCGGGGCCGTGGGCTCCGATCGTCCCTCGTGTCCGACGAGGCCGCGACGCGAACGCGCGCAGTGCCCCCGCCGCCCCTGGGGGCTGCCCGCCCCCTGTCTCCTCCCCCCCCCGCCAGATCGGCCTCCCTGGCGCCCGCCCCCAACACGGACGCTCGCTCTTCGCCAGCGCCTCCTCCACTCGTTGGCGGCGAGCGCGGGCTGGAGAAAAGAAGGAGAAGGCCGTCGCAGGAGGCCGCGGGGCTTCTCAGAAGCCCTCGCGCCTTCTGAAGAGTTTTCTGCGTCTTCAGGGAAGACTTAGGAAACTTCTCAGAAGGCCGAAGGGCTTCCGAGCCTTCTGAGAAGGCCTTCTCCTTCTCGCTTCCCCTCCGGGCTCGCCGCCGAACTCGGGAGCGTCTTTGGGCCCTCTTGGGCCGTCTTGGGGGCCCCTCGGGCTTTCTTGGGGCGACCTTGGGGGCCTCCTGGGCCGTCTTCGAGCGTCGGGGAGCCGAAAACGCGGGTACCCCAAAAGGCTTCAAAAGCAGTGAAACAGCTGTGATGTTTGCCTCTTGGGGCCTCCTTGGGAGGCCTCTTGGGTCATCTTTGCCTCAGTGCCAGCGCCGCGAGAGGCGTCCTGAATTAGATCCTCAGACATCCACACCATGTTGCCGAGCACCCACAACATCTCCGCAACGTACATTGAGGCGGCGTAGTTCCTGCCCCTGGCAAACATCCGGCGTGCGCAGTCCACCTCGAGCGCAACGGCGAGGGCGCCCCCGAGCATGCCAACGGTCAGCAGCAGCGTCGTGACTCTCAGGCTTGTCGGGCCAGCCGCATTGGCGAGACACCACGACGTGTCCATAATTATCCAGGGGATGAAAGACAGCTCCATGTAGACAAGAAAAGGCACCTGGCATAATACCAATGTTACGGGCGGCCGCAGTGGAGCGCTCCCGACATGTGCGCTCAAGTGTTCGGGATCGTCTGCACACCGTCCGAATACTAAAGCATTATTCACGAAAACATACAGTATGAACCAAAACAACGAAATCAACATCATGGCCACAGCAGTCAACATGAATGTCTCGAACTCTTCGTCACCTATATCACGAACGAAACCGACTCCTGCTAAAAATCCAGCTGGCTCGTCCTCCTCTAATACAAACTCAATAAAATTCCAAAGCAAATTTCCCACGAACCACAACAACGCTGAAACAGTGACCGCTAAATCAAAATCACATCCGTTGGCGGCCTGCCTCTGTGTGATAAGCGCCAACACAAAACATCCAGCACAGCATGCGGAAAGAGCAAGCAACGGATGCCACAGGATCCATCCGAGGTCATGCACCACAAAGGCCAGGAGCGTCCAAGCCCACATCAGTTCAACCGACATGGTCCCTGAACCAGACAGGCGAGTGCTACCTCCTTCCCCCTGAGCCAGACATGCTATTGAGTTACACGAGTGGTACTCGTACATACAGACGCACAGACCCACCCTTCCCACGTGTAGGCTACTGGGTATGCTCTTTTACAACACCTTCAGTTTTCAACACCCAAAGGGAACCGCCAATCGAATCGACGCGAATCAGATATCTTTTTCCCCGCCCGGCACGGTGGGGTTGGTAAACTTTCAAAACAGACCTTCCGACCCTACCACCCTGCACACCGCGGCCGCCAGATCCCCAGGACCACCGGTGGCCCCGCGGGGGCTCCTCAGTGGGCCACCGCGTACCACGGCCGCCAGAGCCCCCGGATCACCAATGGCCTCGTCGGGATCCCTCTTGTGAGCCGCCGCATACCGTGGTCGTAAGATCCCCAGGACCAGCGCGGGTCCGCCGTGACCCTTTCGTGATGTGTGGGTCCTCGCGTTACAGAACAGAACAGGTCATACCATACTGAATCAGAAGACAACATCGTAAGAACTTCCCGTATCACAAGGAAGCATACGAGGATTGAGGCAACATGATAGTATGAAACAGACTGTGCCACTGAAATGCAAATCGTATCGCAATAGGCTGCGGCGGGGCATACGATATCATGATGTAAGTTTGCCGTCTGCATGATCCAAAGCATGTGGATCGAATGGCACAGGGCATACCATAATTCAGCGGAGCGGGAAACCACCCAACATCACAAACGATGGGATAATGTAATACGAAAACATGGTCGATTACAGAACACAGCCACGCTCAATGTAATAACTTACGCGTCACAACGAAGAGTTGTGATTTGACAAGCGTGGCAGGCGTGACGCCGTCACGCTGGTCCGTCGAGAACGGCTCATGATAAAATGTGTGTGAAAAGTGGTTGACACGAACCGAAACTGGGTAGTCAAGGATGCACCAACGGTCCGACGTAAGGCCGTGATATGACATACTACGACATCTTATGAGAAACGGGGCGGGACAATACCATATCATGTTAGCCAACATGGGCCCCACACGGCGCATCTCTACCCATGTACGTTGTGCAACCAAGGTTTCGCAGTCAATGTGGTGCAAAATCAGTGCTGTAAGCTACGGGGTACCATTTACCACTGCTAACATTGGAATTGTCAGCTCCGCTGCTCGCGCAATCATCCCACCCGCCCACCCGCAACTTGGTTTGCAAAACCCATTCGGAAACGATTGCGATGAATGATTGGTGTCGGCTGGTGCATCTCTGCGGCCGTGCTGGCCCGCGCATGCACGCGCGCGCAGCGGCCAACTAGTTTGGCGCGACCGACGCGCCCCAGCGGGCACTTCAATGCGAGTAGGCGACTTGGGCGGGAGCGTTATCATGGCAACGTCGACAACGGTAGACACGATGAAGATTTTAGCGATGCTGGCGATAATGGTACCAATGACGAAAGAAGAAGCCAACGACGGCGCCAATGCTGACAACGCCGACGCCAATGACGGCGTTCTCCCGTCGGAGTTCGACATGCGCGCGCGGCCGACGCGCGAGACTGGCCCGCATGAAACGATTTGACACGGATCGTGCCCCCCGGAGACGCGCGCAAAGGCATTCGAATGATTATGGCATGCGGCGAGAGAGGCCCGTGTGGCAGAATTCGATGTGTTGGCAAGGACGTGGGCGCAGACTTTTTTGACAACTGAGCTTTTTTGGAATATTGTTGGGGCGGGATCATATGTTTGTTATTCGTGCTTGGGTTACTTGGTGTTGAAATCTCTACAAATCCCGCATGTGCGCGCGACGACGCGCGCGCATGCACTTCGTCTCTAGGAACCAGAAACAAAAACACACGAAGAAGTTTCACACGCAGGGTTTTGGCACCACCAACGGTGCAACGCATGTGCACACATGCCGCTGGATCACCAGCGATCCGAACCAGGGTTGGTGCACGGCCGTGCTCTAGGACGCAGTTGACATGCGCGGTGTGGCAGGGCTGTCGGCGGAGATGAGACCCCAAGATCCGCTACCAACAAACATTCCATGGTGGTTTGGCACACCCAAGCCACCGCGCAACGTCAGTTTGTTCATCCGTTTACAGCAGCACGCGCCGCGGCAGCATAACGCAGTAGCGCGCGCGAGCATGCAGGGCCGGCGACTTGGCTGGCCAGCTGCCAGCGCGACTTCGGCAGAAGAGCCGAACTCCACGTCGGATCGTTTTGGGCGTGGTATCCGGCGCAGCTGCATCGCGCTGCCAGGTGCCGCGGCCTTGCGATTGTAGCGCCAGGCCCCGCGCGTTCCTCGAGGCGAAGCTCTACGCAAAGGAATCCCGCGAGCTCTTGTGGGGGCGGCGAAAACGATCGCACGCCGAGGAAATTCCTTTGCGTGCCCCCCGCGTCGGCAGCGCAACCAGACCGCGCGCGCAGGAATTGCAAGAGACTTCGTGGCGCACAAAGGAATTGCAGCAGCGCCCTTTGGGTTGCGCTCTTCGCGCGCGGTGCTCCGAGCTGGAAAGGAAGGGGGGCGGGGCAAGGCAAGGCAGGGGAAGAATAAAAATAAGAGGAGGGCGAGAAAGAAACGAAGGAAGCAGCGGAAGGAAGCCAGGATGCGCGCAGGCGAAGCTAACGCTGCGCGCCGAGACAATTTTTCGTTCGTTCGGTTGGCCGTGCGGCAGATGAATAAATAAATAATTGTTTGTTGCCTATCGAAGGGGCTTCTTGGGAATGAGACTCGCGCACTCTTCCCAACCCCCTTTTCCCGCGCCCCGTTGCGAGCGCGCGACGATTTGTTCTGGCCCGCGGGCAGCGGACTGCCAGTTGCCGGCGAGCGGCCTTTCCACCCGCCACGCGTTCCGAACGCATGCGACCAGCTAAGCGCACTTGCCGCGCAAACCGCCAGCTCCAATCATCGACGCCACCGCGATCCCCGCATCCGTGCCAGGCACCCTCTCAACGACGCCCCCGTCCAGCGCAAAACCAATAAAACCCTTTGTGGTTATGTGTTTTTTCCTGTTCTGAGGTCTCGTTTCCTGCAGACAGGATTCTTGCGACAGCGCGCTCGCAAGGGCGTTCGAGCGATTTCGACGGGGGCGCGCGCGAAGCCCGTTTGGCGGCACGTTATGATTCGTTTCTATGTGAAGGCAGGGCTGAACCTAAACGGCGTTTTTCGTTTTCGTCTTGTTTTCGTTTCCCCTCGTTTTGTCTTCAGCCCACCCCTACCGCAGAACGAAGTCGACAAGAAAACAGCCCACGAAATCGCCAAAATACCGTTTAGGTCCAGCCCTGCGTGATGGAGTTTCTATGTGAACTCACGTCATCCAGACCCCCGGCGCGCGAAGAAACGAGCCCCCAAACGCGCCTCCTGGCACCGCCCTGCCCCGTGGAATCCCGGGCAGGATTCCGCGCCCAAGAGGGTCGTTTCGCGCGGGAAGTCGCCGCGAGAACGGGCCCCTAACCCACGCGAGGAAGCCCCCAGCCGCGCCTTCTGGCGCCGCCCTGCCCTTTAGAATCCCGGTAGAATTCCGACTGGACTTCCGGGCCCGAGAGGGCCGTTTCGCATGGGAAATCAAAGCAAAAACGGGTCCCAAACCCTCGCCAGGAGGCCCCCAACCGCGCCTCCTGGCACCGCCCTGCCCCGTGGAATGGCATTTGAACTCTGGCCAGGATTCTGGGCCCAAGAGGGCCGTTGCGCGTGGGAAGTCGCTGCAAAAACGGACGCCAAACCCTCGCGAGGAGGCCCCCAACCGCGCGTTCTGGCGCCGCCCTGTCCATTGGAATTCCGGCCGGAATTCCGGGCCCGACGAGGCCTTTTCGCGTGGGAAGTCGGCCCAAACGATCGCCAGGGATGCCCCCGACCGCGCCTCCTGGCGCCGCCCTGCCCAGTGGATTCCAATGGAATTCTGGCCAGGATTCCGAGCCCGAGAGGGCCGTTTTGCACGGGTGGCCCTTGCAAACACGGGCTCCAAAACCCCGCGAAGGAAGCCCCCGACCGCGCCTCCTGGCGCCGCCCTTCCCCGTGGGATTCCGATGGAATTCTGGCCGGAATTCCGGGCCCAAGAAGGCCGTCTCGCGCGGGGGGTCCCCGCGGAAGACGGCCCCAAGAATGTGCCCCCCCAAGGAGACCCCTCACCCCCGGCCATCGCTCGGACGCCCATTCCCTGCGCTTTTTTTTGGTGGTTTCGTGCGTGGTTTTTCGCCAAGTGATCAAGGATGTTCCTAGATGGCTTCGCCGGAAGGAAAATGCACGCGTCCCAGCGATGCCGAGACCCCCACCGCGCCTCCCGGCGCCGCTCTGCCCCGTGGAAGTCCGGTCGGAACTCGAGGCCCCAAAAAGGGGCCCTGACCTTCCAGGAGCTACAAAATAGCACCAGGATGTCGACGTCGTACTTCCTGACTGTCGAGGTTTGAGGCAGCCCAGATAGATCTATAAGTCTGGGGCGCTATTTTCTAATACTCTGGGACGTCAGGGGGGCCTGGGAAGGTCGGGGGGGGGGCCGGGGCGAAGGGGTGGCGGGGGTGGCGGGCGGGGGGGCGGGGCGTTCAGCGTCGCGCGAAAGACATGCCGCAATGCGTTTCCGTGGCAACTTCGGCCCGAGTTGCTGCGGCTCGAGCTCGCCATGGAGGGCCCCCCCCCCAAGCAGAGACCCGCAACTCCTTCTGGCGACGGCGGCCGCGCCAGCAGCAGCAGCCAACCGGCAAACGACGCTGTCGTCGACGCTTTCAAGGCAGACCTGCATGCGCGGCAGGCAACGTAGCCGAACCCCCAGGCGCCAGGTCAAAAGAAGGGCGACTCTCCCCAAGAGACCAAACCTGCCCTTCGTCTCCCCAAGTTCCGGTCTGGCGCGCTCACAGACGCGCGGGGCATCGCCTTGCGCGCATTGCCCGCGCTGGCTGGTCCTAGGCCGCGCGGCCATCTAGTAGCAGACGCTCGAGCTCGGCAGGAACGCGCCAGCGCTGACCAATCCCCCCGCCGCAGCGCTGGCCGCGGCGCCGAGGAAGAGTC